AAATGCGTTACAAATTCATTTAAATAACATTTCCTGGTCACTAATCTGTACAGCAGATACACAGAAACATGCTTCCTATGCTCTGTAACCAACTGTTTCTTTGGTTGTCTTGACTTTAAAACATGTTTGTTCTTTAGTATTCTTTTAGAGGAATAACTTTACTAGCTTATTAAGTTTATTATCTTATTAACTGTAAGTTCAATATTGTTTATAAGAGCATCATAAAATTTTAATTCTGTTACATATAAGCTATTTTGGCTTGGGCACATTGTTTAACCTCTTTAAGCTTCAGTTTCTGTGCCTACTAATGTAGATATGACACTAGTATTAACTTATATGCTGTGAGGAATAAAATGTTAAGTGCATGTATAGCGCTTTGCACAATGCATGGTGCAAAGTCATTAAGAAAGGTCCCTTGGTTAATACAACTGTATTAACCTGTATAAAGTTTTTGGTAAGTAGGCTGTAAAGAATAAGATACATAATTTATGGTCATGCTGAATGCTAGGTATTATTTACAGTCTATGAATGTGGAGTTTTTTTTTTTAAATACAGTATTTAAAATAGTAGTACTAAGAAAGTGGTGAACAGTGATTTGGAAGTAGTAAACTTGTAATCCAAATAGCCCTTAGAAAAGTTACTGCTAACCTCTGAGTTGCTAAATTCACAGTCCTCAATTAGGTTGACTTACCAGTCAGATTAACTATCATTAGTCTTATCATTTGTCTATCATTCTCTCCTTCTTCCTGCACTCTTCATCTGGCTTCTAAGATGCCATGATGGTCTTGATTTCCCTCCTCAAAAAAATGGTTGTTCCTTTCTAGTCCCCTCTTCTCCCTTGTCTCTTAATATTGATGTATCCCAGGACTCTGTCCTTGATTCTTTCTGTTTATCTATAATCACTCCTCTAGTGATCTTATCCAGTTTTATAGCTTTAAATACTATGCATGTCCTCACAACTCATAAATGTATAACATTTTCAGCTAAAGGATAATTTGTGCCTCATTTAGCAATTGGAATTCCTAAGAGGGTATCTCCATCATTTTGCTTATCGATTTAGACTTTCCAGGTTGGTAAAGTATTTCCAATCTCTTTTTATTTTTATTTTTTGAAGCATTTTGTTTGGATATTTAACAACATTTAGTTTTGTTTTTTTTTTTTTTGTAGATGGAGTCTTGCTCTGTCGCTTAGGCTGGAGTGCAGTGGCGCGATCTCTGCTCACTGCAACCTCCGCCCCCTGGGTTCAAGCGATTCTCCTGCCTCAGCCTCTTGAGTAGCTGGGATCTCAGACTTGTGCCACCACGCCTGGCTAATTTTTGTATTTTTGGTAGAGACAGGATTTCACTATGTTAGCCAGGATGGTCTCGAACTCCTGGCCTCAGGTGATCCGCCCACCTTGGCCTCCCAAAGTGCTGGGATTACAGGCGTGAGCCACTGCACCTGGCCAACAATAAGCTACTAAGAAGCAGTGTATAGTAAAAGTGAAATCAAGTTCAATGCTTCATTTCTTGACAATTGAAGTATAAAAGGACTCTGTGTTCAGGAAAAGTTAGAAAAATAGACCATTTTATGTGTATATATATTCCCCCGCCCCCCATAATAATTATAGTAGGGGAAACTGGGTGTTGACTTACACTTTTTTTTTTTTCAAAAATATAGTAGGATAACACATTTTTCTCCATGCCCTTCCCTCATGCTTTTTGCATATAGACAACCTAAGTTAGTTTTTGCATTGGAGCTAATTCACATTTCTCAGCTGATAACCTTAGAGATGTAACTGGGCTACCTGTGGGCATAGTCCAAGGCTTGATTGAAAGCTGTGTCTGACCTATCTGGTTATGCAGACTCATATGAAACTTGGGCAATAAGATGTTGTTTTTCCCTCCAGTGTCTTATTTTAGGAGCGAGGATTTTCACCCCGGGTACTGGTTTTCTAGTAATCAGTCTGGTTTTAATTCCTCTCCTCATTTAGGACCTTTTAATTATCAGTCACTGATCTTGCTGCTTTCTGATCTGAAATCCAATAGACCTCTGTGACTTTTAGGTCATACCCTTTGCTTGGCATTTTTGTTTCTGGTCTTTGAATATTTTGTTATTGGTGGTAGTGTTTTGTTTAGTCTCAGTGTGGCTATCATTTTCAAATGTTCTCTGTCATTTCTATACAGTTGGAAACAGATAGTTTTCTTCATTGCTGTAAAATTTTGGTTGTAGTCTTTTCCTGAATTTATTTGTATTTCTTTTTAACATTTCTTTATCTCAGTTTTAAAAAATCTTTATCTCAGCATCATTTTTTAAAAAATGAGATGGGGTCTTGCTATGTTGCCCAGGCTGCTCTTGAACTCCTGGGCTCAAGCAGTCCTCCCACTTCAGCCTCTCGAGTAGCTGGGATTACAGGGGTATGCAACTGTGTCTGGTTTAGTGTCACTTAAAGGAAATAATCACAGTTGAAATCACTGACACTTAAAAAAAAAAAAACTTATGAAGATTTATTTGAAACTGCACAACAAGGAAGTTCACAGACATAGGCTTTCAATCAAGTCCTGAGCTAACTCAGCTTGCCCGGTGATTGGATCTCAGTATTAATTTCATATACATAAAACACTAGTATCTGAAAACAATTCAAAATTTTTTCTTAAAAGGTGATACTAAATAGAATAAATTTTGATTGTAAAAATTATAAAGGCCTCAAGTAAGAATGTAAGTTTATAAATGTATATATTATCAACCTACATTAAAGTATCATAGTATCATTAAAAATCGGTGCTATATAAAAATAAATTAATAGTGCCTAATAGTGATAGTGTTTGGTCTTTTAAAAATGGTTTTAAACACAAGATGGTTGAGTTGAGCAAATATGTTCAAAATGCTGAAAAAGCTCTCTGACTCTACACTACTGGGGAATATTATGGGAAAATATTTATAAACTTTCCAGATTATTTAACCTTCACATAATCCCATCGCTTGGAGAGAACTTTTGGGGAAGATGGGGAGAAGCAAAGATTTCGTTCTTTTATTAATGTCAAGTTGTAGTGTTGCTTCAAAGAAAGGCTTCTCTTGTCTTATGTGTAAATGGAGGTTTTAATGCAGAGTTACTTTTATTTCAGTATGAAGTGTTAATATTCCATTTGTTTGAAAAGTCTCTAAGGAAGATTTACTGTTGCAATAGAAGCTTTTGCCTTGTCAATTTAAATTTTTCTTCCCGTCGAGGTAAATGGAGGCATGGAAGAATGCTTTCCAAATGAATATACTTTTCTTTGATTTGAAATTGTAATACAGAGTATAAATCTAGATACATCTAAAATATAAATTATTCAGATTTTACATTTTTAACTTACTGAAATATCAAAATTATACTAATAAAGATACATTGGTTTGGTACTTAAAAATAGCTTAATATGCTCAAGTGTTAGAATCCTTGAAAAGTAGTCCAACTGTTTTGGAGCAGTGTATGTGTGTGTGTGTGTTGTTTGTGTGTATGTGTGTGGGAGGGTATGTCTCAATGTGTGAATTTAACAATCCCAGCTTACCTGGAAGTTGGATTTTTAAAAATGTATTTTTCTCTTTTAGTTGAAGAGAATCAAGATTGGCTTTGTGTCTGTATTAGATAACAGTGGGATGTAAATCGTTTTGTTATTAAAAATGTTAATAGTTTACTCTTAACACCTTTGTCCCTTTCTGTTATTAAATAATATTTTCATAAAGTGTTAACAGTTTTTAGTGAATGGAAATTAAAAATATGAACTATAACCGAGTGGTAAGCATAGTATATACAGTTATTCTAGAATTAGTAGATTACCTTTCTAAAGAAAAAACTTTTTTCAGAGACAAGGTCTCACTATGTTGCCCATATTGGTCTCAAACTCCTGGGCTCAAATGATCCTCCCGCCTCAGCCTCCCGCGTAGCTGGGATTACGGTGTGTGCTGCCACACCCACCTGGATTACCTTTCTAAATTTTGTGTGTAATTTTCCCTGTATTTTCCACCTATCCAAGTCCCCTAAAAGTTTCTTTTTATTGTTGTTTCGTTTTCTGCAATCCTCTAGCTTCCCTGTTTACCCTCCCAGGCTCCCATTGTTTCTTTTAGCAACGTGTCAGTCTGATCATTGAGACTAGAAGGATGAGTTAAGTCTATTGGACCGCCTAAGATTTAGGTTGTATGCTGCTGCTGTCATTTCCTAACAGTGTGACCCTGAGGAAATCAAAGTAATGTAATTTCTCTGTGCCTTAATTTGTTTCTTCATCTTTAAATTGAGGATGTTTCCTCTACCTTCCACAGAGTTACTTGGCGTTGAGACAATGTATGTGATAGTGTTTTAGAAATCCTGCTACCTTCACAAGCATTTCCGTTGAGTAATTTGAAACTTAGTTACTTTCTGGTGAGTTTTTTCACCTCCACCATTATATGTATATAGTTTTTTTTCTGTTTTTATTATAAATTTAATGCATGTTCATTGTAGAAAATATGGGAAATACAGAAACGTAAAGAAAAAATAGAAATCCAGACAATGCATCATCCTTTTGTTGTTGTTTTTGGAGGAAATTTAGTTTTGAGACTGAGCTCCCAGAGGGTAAGGATGGTGTCATTTATTTTTGGATTTTATCTTCTTAATCTGCACTAGGCACAACATTAATGCAGGTTTAGTAAGAGGGAACTTAGTGTAGCTGTATTTCTTAAAGTCAAAACCTGATGAAATTTGACTGGCCATTTGAAGAGAGAAAAGGAGACATCTGACTAGCAAAAATAATAATAGATACATGTTTTGAAATGACATTTTTCTATTGGCTGAAAGAACACAGGAAAACATGATAGGGTCAGTCCTAATATTCTCTGACAGAGATTAGGAAACTGGTTAAAGCCGTTGGATATGGAACTAATGGACACTGTCATATCAAAGTGGGTTGGCATTTTTCTGGTGAAAATGACATAAAATTAAAAGACTTTTTTTAATGAATGCTTGGAAATTGTAAAAACTATATTTTCCTCTTTTTATTTCTTAACAGGATGGCTTAAATTCCTTGGTCCTTGATTTAGATTTTCCTGCTTTGAGAAAAAACAAGAACATAGATAATTTCTTAAATAGATGTAAGTATGTTTGAACTTCATATTTGATCTTATAATTGTACTTTTGATAAGATATTGGTTATTAGCCTATAAATTTATTGATTTAATCAACTTATTTATTAAACTTAAGTCTTTTGCTTACCATTTGATTTATTCAAAAATTGTTACTTTTATTTTTAAAGCAATTGCAGAACCAAATTACAATATGCAAAGCAGATAAAGTTCTAAATTTTGAAATACATTATTAAGACTAGCTATTTTAGGACAGGCTATTTATAGTAGTTCAAAGAGAAGTTTTAAATTAATATTTACAATTCCAAGACTTAATATTACCCAGAGAATTAATAAGCTTTATGCTTCTGTAATTGTGGACATTTCAGACTAGTTAATAATAAATAATGTGATAACTATTATTACCATATGTGTTTGGTAACCTTAATATTTGCCAGTATTAATGTTGCAATGCAGAAGTAAATGAAATTGAATTCCAAGAATAAGAAATTCTCAAAACAATTAATATATACTTTGTATCATCACAGTAAGCTCTTTACTTTGAAATTGGCAGAGACTGAGGTATTTTCCCAATTAAACAATCTTATCTGTAGTTACTATATATACAGTATGATTACCACTTTTCAGAGAAGTAGGCCATCAAAATTCATTACTAAGATTAGCCTTGCAAGTAATTTCATGGCAACTTTCTGCCATGATTCAGAGTGCACACCAGGATTGCTTGGGTCATCACTGTGTCAGCTATCATCTAACTTGCTAAGCAACAGTATCAGAAACAGAATAGCTGTAACTGCTACTTTTTGGCAGTCAGTGGTGTTCATTTATATGTGTTAATAAACCATAGAGAGTTTTGGTTCTTTAAGGTTAACGTATATCTTAGATTTTTAACTAACAGCCTTTAAAAACTGGCAAGTTTAGCTAAAAACTGTCTTTTCTTGAAACAAAAATATATTTATAACTATGTTGATTATTTTAAAATATTTATAAATATGATTGATATAAGTATGGTGATCTTTTTATGGTAGATGAGAAAATTGTGAAAAAAATCAGAGGTCTACAGATGAAGGCAGAAGACTATGATGTTGTAAAAGTTATTGGAAGAGGTGCTTTTGGTGAAGTGCAGTTGGTAAGAAAGTATTTGTTTTGTTCTTATTGTTCTTTATGACATCGTGGTTTTGTGACGCATTATCAATAGCAGCTGAGTAGATCTAATTTCTATGCCCACCCATGCCAGAAGGTGGCTTCATGATCTTGGTCAGTGTCCTCATCTATAAAAGGAAGCCTTTGTTGTCTACTCTGGGTCTGTTCCAGCTCTGAAACACAATGTAGAAAATAAGGCCAATATAGCTTCACATGTGATCTGCCTAGCAGTTAGTATTCCACCAGAACTGTTGTATTTTTATTTAGAATGTTCAGATTAAAAACATCTGCTTAAGGAACTGAGATTTATTTAGATATATAAGAAACCCAACAGATAAATTTTAATAACTGAAATTAAATCTGAAATTTATTTTCGCAGGCCAAAGTGGTACCAATTGCAAATATTATGAATGTTGACAGTAACCATTACCTTTATATTACTAGCTTAGGAACTCCTCCTAATCTCATATCCCTGTTTTCATCACCTGAGTATTTGAAACTCCTCTATTATTGTCCTTATATTTAAATTAGAGTCACATTCTCTTCTTCACGCTACAGCGTTTACCCCTCTTGATGGAGCACTGAGAAAAGTAGTGATCATTATAAGCCAGCATGGATTTTGTTAAGAACAAGTCATGATAGACCTTTTTTTTTTTCTTTCATTGCTTCTTTCTTTGGGTTTTTTTGGTTTTGTTCTTTTTTGAGACAGGGTCTTGCTTTGTCACTGAGGCTGGAGTGCAATGGCACAATCTTGGCCCACTGCAGCCTTGACTTCTCGAGCTCAAGCAGTCTTCCTACCTCAGCCCTCCAAGTAGCTGGGACTACAGGCATGTGCCACCACACCCGGCTCATTTTTTGTATTTTTTGTAGAGATGGGGTTTCACCATGTTGCTGAGGCTGATCTTGAATTTCTGGACTCAAGGGATCTACCTGCTCGGCCTCCCAGAGTGCAGGGAGTACAAGCATAAGATACCTCACTGGGCCTTTCTTTGATAGGTTTATTGGACTTGTAGATCAGGGTAGTGCAATTTATGTAATACATATCCATAAGAAGAATATTATTCTTTTGGAGAAGTCTGACACTTGAGGATAATATGATGAAATAGCACAGTAATAATTGTATGGGTAGGCAAGCTTTATAACTAATGTACTAGTTTTATTCTAAGGAGGCTGGTGAAAGCATGGATGGTACATGGGACAGAGACCTCCAAGAAAGGTTTCAGGGTCCTTCTTCTCCTATTAAACATTTTTTTTTTTTTTGACACGGAGTTTCACTCTTGTTGCCCAGGCTGGAGTGCAATGGTGTGATCTTGGCTCAACGCAGCCTCCTCCTCCCGGGTTCAAGCAATTCTCCTGCCTCAGCCTTCCGAGTAGTTGGGATTACAGGCATGCATCACCACGCCCGGCTAATTTTGTATTTTCAGTAGAGATGGGGTTTCTCCATGTTGGTCAGGCTGGTCTTGAACTCCTGACCTCAGGTGATCCGCCCACCTCAGTCTCCCAAAATGCTGGGATTACAGGCGTGAGCCACCGCGCCTGGCCTCCTATTAAACATTTTAATGACTTGTATGGGAGCAATGGTGGCATGTTGAATAATTTTGCAAATGAGTTAAACCTGAAGTATAATGAGGATGATTTTAGGTGATGAGCCAAAATCCAGAAATCATCAATGGGAAAGATCATTGGCCAGATAGAAGTGAAATTGAACCAGAATATAGTACTTGAGTGTGAAGAACACAGGAAATAGTTGCTTAACAGTACTGTCTGAATTAATCATTTTCCTTGAATTGTAACCAGGCAAGAGTAATTAGTGATCAGACTACCTAAAGTAGTAAAGAAATTTGGGACTGCTTTAATATAATTCCTAAATTGATAAAAATTGATGGAGCATACTTGTAATATTTTATTTATTCTAGATGCCCTGTTCCCCTGTTTTTTTTTTTCTTTTTTCATAAAAAGACTAATTTTTTGAAGAGCAATTTTAGATTCATAGTAAAATAGAGAGGGAAGGTATAGAGATGTCCCATATACCCCTTGCCCCAGCATATGCATAGGCACTTCCATTGTCAGCATCCCTCATTAGAGTACATGTGTTACAACTGATGCTTACATTGACATATCATAATCACCCATTGTCATAGTTTACATTAGGGCTTGCTCATGGTGGTGTACATCCTGTAGGTTTGGCCAAGTGTACAATGGTATATGCCCATCATTATACTATGATAAATAGTATTTTCATTGCCCCAAAAATCCTCTGTGCTGTGCCTATTCATCTCCCAGCCCCAAGTCTCTGGTAGTTACTCTTTTTACTGTTTTCATAGTTTTACCTTTTGCAGAATGTCATGTAATTGGAATCATACATGCAACCTTTTCAGATTGTCATCTTTCACTGAGTAATATGCATTTAAGATTTCTCCATGTCTTGTTGTGATCCTTTAGATTATTAGTTTTTACTACACAATATTCTGTTGTCTGGCTGTACCGAAGTTTATCCATTCACATACTGAAGGACATCCTGGTTGCCTCCAGGTTTTGGCAGTTATGAGTAAAGCACTATAAACATCCATATGCAGGTTTTTGTGTAGACATAGATTTTCAATTCATTTGGTTAAATACTAAGGATCTTGATTGCTGGATCATAGGATAAGAGTGTATTTGGTTTTCTAAAAAACTGCCAAACTGTCTTCTTAAGTGGTTGTACCAGTTCGCATTCGTACCAGCAATGAATGAGGATTCTTCTTGCTTTACATCCTCCCTGGCGTTTGGTGTTGTCAGTGTTATAACTGACAAAAAACAGGTGTTTTGGTTATTTGATTAGGTGTTTAATGGTATCTCCTTATTAATTTGACATTTCCCTGATGACATATGATGTGGAACATCTTTTCTAATACTTATTTGCCATCTGTATATCTTCTTTTTTTCTTTTTCTTTTTTTTTTTTTTTTTTTTTTGAGACGGAGTCTCTGTTGCCAGGCTGGAGTGCAGTGACGCTATCTAGGCTTACTGCAACCTCTGCCTCCTGAGTTCAAGCAATTCTTCCTGCTTCAGCCTCCCAAGTAGCTGGGATTACAGATGCCTGCCACTATACCCAGCTATTTTTTATATTTTTGTAGAGATGGGGTTTTGCCATGCAGGCCAGGCTGGTCTCAAACTCCTGACCTCAGGCGATCCGCCCACCTCGGCCTCCTAAAGTGCTGGGATTATAGGTGTGAGCCACCAGGCCTGGCCTGTATATCTTCTTTGATGAAATGTCTGTTCAGGTCTTTGGCGCATTTTTTGATTGGGTTGTTTTTTTTTTTATTACTGAGTTTTGAGAGTTCTTTGTATAACAAATTCTTTTGGATAATAGACCTTTATCAGATGTGTCTTTTTCAAATATTTTCCCCCAGTCTTTGGTTTTTCTTCCATCCTCTTGATATTGTCTTTTGAGTAGTAGAAAATTTGAATTTTAGTTAAGTTCAGGTTATCAGTTATTTCTTGGGTTATGTCTTTGGTGCTATATATAAAGAGCCATTGCTCTAATCAAGATAATTTAGGTTTTCTCCTATGCTGTCCTCTAGAAGATATAAGGTCTGGTGTTGATTCTTTTTTTTTTTTTTTGCATGTAGATGTTCAGTTATTCCAACATTTGTTCAATCCATTGTATTGCCTCTGCTCCTTTGTCAAAGATCGGTTGACTATATTTATGTGGGTCTATTTCTGGGCTCTCTGTTCTGTTTCATTGATCTATTTGTCTTTTCTTTTACCAATATCACATTGTCTTGATTACTGTAGCTTTATAGTAAGTCTAGACATTGGATAGTGTCATTCCTCCCATTTTGTTCTTCCTTATTTATTTTTAATTATTATTTTTTGAGGCAGCATCTTCCTCTGTTGCGCAGGCTGGAGTGCAGGGGTGTGATCCTGGCTCACTGCAACCTCTGCTTCCGGGGCCCAGGTGATCCTGCCACCCCAGCCTCCTGAGTAACTCGGACTACGAGTGTATGCCACCACTCCTGGCTAATTTTTGTACTTTTAGTAAAGATGTGGTTTTGCTGTTTTGTCCTGGCTGGTCTCAAACTCCTGGGCTCAAGTGATCTGCCTACCTTGGCTTCCCAAAGTGTTGGGATTACAGGTGTGAGCCACTGCACCTGACTGTTCTTCTTTAATGTTTTGTTGGCTATTCTGGGTCTTTTGCTTCTCCATATAAACTTTAGAATCAGTTTGTCAATATCCATGAAATAATTTTCTGGGATTTTTTTTATGATTGGATTGAAAATAAGTATTTGAAGAACTGATATCTTGACAACATTGAGTCTTCGTATCCAAGAACATGGACTATCTCTCCATTTGCTTAGTTTTTAAATTTCTGTCATCAGAGTTTTGTAGTTTTCCTCCTATAGATCTTATACATATGTAGTTAGATTTATGCCTATTTTATTTTTTTAGGTGCTTTAATGTAAATGGCATTGTGTTTTTAATTTCAAATTCCACTTTTTCATTGCTCATATACAGGAATTTAATTTCATATACATTGCTCATATACAGAATTTAATTTCAAATTCCACTTTTTCATTGCTCATCTACAGGAAAGCAATGAACTTTTGTGTATTAACCTTTTATCTTGCAACTTGGTATAATGACTTGTTCCAGGAAATTTTCGAATCCTCTACATAAGTGATCACATGGATCCTTCCCAATTTGTATACGCTTTACTTCCTTTTCCTGTGTTATTGCATTACCTCGGACTTTCAGTACAATAATGGAAAGGATTGGTGAGAGGAAATGTCCTTGCTTTTGTTCTTGATCTTAATGGGAAAGCTAGTTTCTTACCAGTAAATATGAAGTGAGCTGTAAATTTTTTATAGATACTCGAGTTGAAGTTCCTCTATTCTTCATGTACTGAGGGTTTTTTTTTTTTTTTTTTTAATCATGAGTGGGTGTTGGATTTGTCAAATACTTTTTCTGCATCTATCATATGATCATCTATTTTTCTTTTTTAGCT